TTCCACCTTTATGGAGCGGGGGGTATATCCGTTGTTTTTTAAATGATGTGGAATCTCACCCCATTTGCCAAGCTCCTCCCCCATAGTGTACTTAAGGGGACGCGAGAGGGGGTTTTTTGCAGTTCTTAATGAAAACAGGTTCCACGAGTCCCGGGGCCCCGGGGGGGGGGTGCATAGGATTTGTCAATGGCTTTTTTCGAAATCTATCGGAAATTGGGTTTAAAGTCGGAAAACTGGCCTACAAAAAAATGGAGTTTGAGGCCATTCTGAAGAAAATTTATTTGGGGGCGGCGATCCCCAGACCGATTAAATGGTTTCCTTTAAAAACAGAGTCGTTTTTTGGGGTTTTTAATATTTCACTCATTTCCCTTTTTGTTTGTTTTGTGAAGCCCCTCCGTTGATTTAAGGGGCCCCATAAAAGATGTTTGGGATTTGCCTTGTTTTTGGCAAAATGAAAAGAAATTTTTTGGGAAATTTTTTTCAATTTCACTAATAGCTTTAAGCCCCCCCCTGCCTCTCCTGGTTCCCGTAAAAGTCATTTAAATTAAAATTCGATAGTTTTTCCCCTTCCCGGGCAGCGCCCCCCTTTCGTGTACCAAAATTTTTAGCAAATCCTGGGACTCAGTGGGCTCTTCGCGTCTTTTAGAGGGAGCGTCTTTTTCTTTTCCCGTTTTCTCCTGCCTTCTTTCCCTTTTTTAGGGGAATATGCCCAGAAAAATGCTTCGGGTACCAGGGAAATTGATCCCTTTTAAGGCAAATGGTTTGGGTCCCCTGTCATTTAAGACATCTTCCCAACATGTTTCGTTTAGGACATGGTTTCCCCCGGTTTCCCCGTTGATGTTTTTGTTGTTTTAATTGTATTTTGTGAAGACACCCCTTTACCGGTACATTTCAAATTTTTCTTTTTCAGGACCCCTATGCATGTTCGTCTGGACTTGATTAGATTGTGAAACGGAAATTTTTGTTTTTGATACTTATGTCTCTTATCAGGTCCTCAAATTTTTTGTGAAGATTTAAAGGGCAAGTGTGTTTTTTTTATCTTGTTGGCTCCAATATCTGTGCTTAAGGAGTGTTTTTTTGCAGAGGGCCTTTTGTAGCTCATGGTGTTAGACCTTTTTATCTGCGCTACCTCCGGGGGTTGGGTTTTAGCAAAAAAAAAAAATTATTTGCTACATTTTTCCCTTTTGTATGCCTTAGGTTGAAATCACCAAGCCGTAAGATGTTTTGGGGGGGAGCTGGAAAATTTTCCAAACAGTAATCGATTTTTAGAAACTGTTCCCTTTAACTGTTGGGAGGTTGAAACTGGGGCCCTTTTATACAACCCCCAAAGGGCTAGGGGTTTTGGGTTTTCGACTTTTTTGATAGAACTTCAAACCCACCTAAATTTTTGGTGTTCGGGAAATCCGTTTCCCGATAAGGGACCCCTTTGACATACAGGCCCAACCCCCCCCGGGTTTCCTGTTTTTTCTGTCGCATCTAAAAAAGGTTTTTAACCACTTTTCCATATTCACTGTCAAAGTGATCTTTTGTGTGAGTCTCGGTTTAAGGCTGCAAACATTGCATTAAAACTCCACTAGAAGTCCACTGTTTAAAAGGGGATTTGGGTTTTTGGTGGAGGTTAAGGGCCCCGATTTAGGGAAATATGAAAAGAGGTTTTTAAATTTTGTGTTTGTTGGGGGTTTGTTATTGGGATCAGTAGTTGTAGTAAATTGTCGTAGTGAACCAAAAAGTTGGGGACAGACAGGGGGCGACCTGTTTCTAAAAACCCTGTTGCCCTGGGTTTTGTAATTGAATGGGTTTTCCCCGATGGGTGGTGATCTTGCTTCTTTTTGGGCCCCCTTTCCCAAAAATTTTTTTTGAAGGGATGTTAGTGGGTATCGGTCTTAGTTCTTTGGGTGTTGCTTTACTGCCCCCCTTTTTGGGTGGGGCTATGTCTGTTGTTTTTAGTAACTGTGGGACGACCCCCGTGTCCATGCTCCCTCTCCATAGGATGGTAAAAGCTCGTGATAGGGGCTTCTTGCAGTTCTTGATGAACACGGAGTTCCATGAGTCTGGCCCTGGGGCAGAGTGCATGGGTGTTACACTCCAAGTATTGTAACCACTATTTCCTTCTTTTTAGAGCATAACTTTGGTCAGAGAGGTTAGGGTAATAATAGTGATCCTCCGGAATGCCTAATTTTAATTAAGTATATTCATAATACAACAAAAGCCAGAAATAATATACGAATTATCGTATGTAAGTTAAGAATGCATGTTCTATATTATCCAAAATATATATATAAGGCTTTCATAACAGATGATTAGGAGGAGATCCTAGATATAACATATATGTATATAGAGATTACTTTAATGTATGAAGTCTTGTTTCCCAATTGGAAGCAGTCAGAATAAAACAGAATATGTCCAGGCCGGATTATAATCCTTGGCCAGTTACCAGAGACGAGCAGGAGTGTTCTCATTGGCTGCTACTTCTTCACTGCTCGTCCCTCAACCTTGAGCATACAGGTCAAGTGGGTCACGTGACGTGACTCACCAACACTCGGTATAGTTGAACATAAAGGGGCTAACCATACACCGGCACACCGGGCGGCAGGCATGTTACTATACCTCCAATTAAACTTATGGCCATGTTACATAAATTATAATAATTGTTAATAAGAATTAGCCTTAATAATACAAGGACGTTCATTTCCAATTTAGCTATTAAAGGAAATAACCGCAATGTAATATTAAAGAAAGGTTAACTATAGGGGCATGACAATGGGCATGTCATTTATCGCCTGTTCGGAGTCATTTGGCATCAGGATAACATCAGATAGGCTTGTGTTAACCAAATTCTGTGGCTCTCTCATAAAAAATTCATTTTGATCTTCGACTCTCAGTCTGGTTAGTGGCTTGCTAAAAACTGAGTCATACTGGGACTTGAGTAGCTCACTCATTTCCTTGCTGTCATCTGTGTAGGACCCATCTTGTTTAAGTAGGGGCCCAATACTGGACGTTGTTCTCGACTTTGATTTGGCATAGGAGAAGAAATACTTTGGGTTTCTTTCGATTTCATTTATGGCTTTTAGTTTTTCCCGCGATTCCTGACTCCTATAAGATTCCTTTTGCTAAACTCGACACTGGGCAGCCGCAGCAAGCAACAACAAGGCTGCTCCTATATCTTGCCGTCCCCTGGGCCTATCCGAACTCCAGTGATGGCCAAATTTGCAAGTACTGCTGCAACAACATGCAAGGAACCTATAGTGACATAAAAACTGACGGTGACGACAACGAAATGGACTAAATATAACAAAAGAGGGACCGGCATTCAAGTACCAGACCTGCTGCCAGACGTGAACCAGACATGAGACGTTTTCCACTACAATGAAATAACTGACCTCCATATCAACTGCACCAGTGTTTAACGGGAAGACAACATGGCAGAAAACCTGATCAACTAAATCTCCAAGGAAATGACAGGTCTGTAGGACTTTTTTCTTCAGTGCCAAACGAGGGAAAGAATTGAGCATTTAAACATGGCTGACCGGCATCCAAACAGCCGCTACTGCCAGACGTACAACTAGCAAAGCGAAATTCTCATCTTTACTGACGTTCATCTGTTGACAGTAGCATCATATCTGTACCACCATCATATCACCTGTACCAGTGCTAACGAGAGGGAAACATAGGAGACATCGTCAAATCAACAGTACAAAACTCCAAGGTTATAGGTCGGATATCAGAGTAAGGAAAGTTAAGAGTGAAGATCTGAAAGTAGGAAATCGCTTCTCTGTTCTTCAGGATGAATGTACTTCAGTGGCCAGTGAAGGTGAGGGTACTACTGCCCCTGCTAATGGAGGTAAGCGCATTCTTGTGGTTGGTGACTCTCAGGTAAGATATATTGACCGTGCTTT